CTGCAGTAAAAGAAAAGGATGATAAGAATTTCTAGCCTGAGAAACTGTCTGGCTAGTGGGATTATTAATACACTTGTGAAATTCCAAGTGGAAGGACAGAATTCAGAATATAAATTTAGTTTCAAACATTTAAATTTGACTTATGCATGGACCAACGTCTAAGTGACAATGACCTCTGATCAATTTTAAATGTAAGTCTAGAGGTCAAGGAAGAGATGTACTAAAGAAAGAGGAGATTTAACAGTAACAAGATTACAGCCGGTAGTTGAAAACGCAGAGTAGCTGGGCTGCCCAGAATGGGAAGTGAGAAGAGGCCTGAAAGTAAAACCAGGACGAGCATTAATACTTAAGAGAAGATAAAATGTACCCGTATCGGGGAGTCTGAAACCTAAGAAGATAATTGGCAAACATAGCATTGAAGAAATTTTAATAACAGAGAGCTTCCAAAAGGAGACGATATTTAAAAGGAATTTTGATTTCTTTGGGTTGAGGGATGGAACAGCAAGGTGTTGCGGGGTCCAGAGAAAACTTGGAAACGCGGGAGTTGGTTTTTCTCTTTCAGTCTCTGATGCTCTCTTCCACTCATCTTTCCTTTTTCTTTTATTTCCTTCAATTCCTTCCCACTCCTCCTTCTCTTCCTCCTTCCAGTTGTCCCTTCCACCCTCCCGTCCTTTCTCTGTCCATTCTGAAAGAATTTAAATTAATATAGTAATCTATACATCTGTTTAAGACAATACTTAGACATCTTGTGTTCTTGTGGTTTGTGAGTCAAACGCATTCTGTGCGGGGTCACATTGCAGAAGAGAGAGGGGAGCAAACAGGATCAGTGGCTGGTATCCTTGAACAATATCTCTGCCCCAACTTTTATATGACGTCAAGTCAAAAAAGTCATGTAGATTTGGCTGATTTCATTCTCATGGCAGTTTTCTAATCAGCCAGTTAATTAAGTCAATTCTGGTGAGAGGTCAAACCACCTTCCACATACTCAGACTTGATCCAGAAATAGAACTTGGATGAGACTGAATGTTCTCGATGAGTTGAAGAAAGAGCCTCCTCTGGAGCCATAATCGTTATCCTAGGACACTGAGGACAGTACTCTGAAGACTTCTCCTCTTTGCTAAATGCTGTCCTGTGCACGAGGTGAACTGTTATGTAGGGAGATGGAGCCATCATTCCACTCTGAGCGACAAAGATTAGTGAAGAGCCAAAGGAGCCTTCATGGCTTGGCACGAGAGATTCCAACTACATTTAGTTGACAGGTAAAATATATAATTTCTAGATACACACAATATTATATCACACCAAAATAACACAATCAAATTCTCAAAGATAACAGGGGCACCTAACTGCTGGTTGTTATACTAGCTAATGCCAACTACCTTTGCCTTACTTCTGATGTCTATCCCTACTCCAAGAGCAGGGGATTTGGGACCCAAGGCACTGTGAAGCTCACAAGGAGTGCACCTCTCCACAGAACACCATATGTGATCTGTTCAGGTTTCAGTCTTCATCTTGAAAAACATGACTGGCAGAGTCACTTATCAACTTTAATATATAATTTTTCTCAGCTGAGTTTTTAGAAAGAGCACACGGTTTGCAGTTGCACTGTCTTTTAAAGCCTGGAGAACAGATACTCTTCATGGTCATGGTGGCACCTGCATACTTTAGAAATCAGATGAGATGATGGGAAGCTGACAGCCATGTATGAAGAGCTAAGGTTGATGCCCAAGTTTGGAAATAAAGATTTCTAACAGCAATTCTTCCCTGACCCATGGTCATTTCAGTCCTCCAAGGAACTGGCCCTAAACACTTAAAGAAAATGGAGAATGTTTTTCAAAAAACACTTCATTTCAGTTCAGTGCCTGAAGGAAAGAAGAATCAACAGGATCACCTGGTATTTCAGCTTCTAAATTTGAATAAATATAGACAAATTCTTAATTTGACACAGATAGAAGGCAACCTAGCTTTCACGCGTATCACTTGCCAGCATTCAGCTGAGTTCCTTTTTTTAAGGGATATTATATTTTCTGTGGAAGTGTACACGGCAAAACAGGCTCCCATTCAACAATTTCTACACGCATTTTATATTCACTGATAATGGTGACATTTCTGTGTCACGTCAGCATCATGGCTTCTGTTCCAGCTATTCTGTTCCCAGCTCACAGCCCCCAACCTTCTTATCTATGCTTTTAGAGTATTTGTGGACCATTCGGTCTCACACAGATGGTTTTTAAAAGAGTGCAGTACTCAAGGGTTATATTCATCACTTTAGGAACTAACCTGTTATTTAACTAAAAGGTGACTTAAGGAGATAGTTTTGGTTTAAGGCTTAAAGAATACCTCAGGGTACTATCTCAAGGATTCCTTCTGTCACCGTAGGCCCACTAAGTCTGTATTTTCTAAAAGTTAGAAGTTCTATTCCACGTTTTTCTCCCTTTCTTTCAGGATCCATGCATCTGATGCAACTGAAAATACCATGGCTTGGGCCAGGTGCACCTTAGTCCTCAAAGTGACATCTTTGCTTTTTAACACTTCAAAGAGGTCTTTTGCAGCAGATTTGCCCAATGCAACACATTTGATTTCTTGACTCCTGCTTCCATGGGCATTGATTGTGGATTCAAGTAAAAGGAACTATTTGACAAC